CTAAAGTCTCTGGCGGGCCAGGAGCAGATGTAGCCGTGAAGCGGTCAGGCAAAGGATAGAAAGCGCTTTGTTTGTTTTTTCTGCTGACAGCCACTAGAAACCGACCACCATGCACTGCCACTTTGGAAGTTGGTTTCTTGGCAACCGTGTTCCCGGCTGGCTTCTTTGTCCTTTTTCGTTTCTTTGACCCCACCTTGTTTTTTCTGGTTGCCGTACGACACGAATCTACCTCCAGGATTCCGGCGTCAAAGGTCATGGATTTGTTTTTCTGAAACTCAGCCCAACCTGTCACCATGCGAGCTTGCTTGTAAATGGAATCGACATAGTCATGGGATCGCCCAACAATGTGCGCAGCTGCATCTTGAGGAATCTTAGCACTGACACAATAAACCGTACGTACGAAGCCTTGCATGTCTGGTTCATGTCCACCTCTCAGTCGGTTGATGAAGGGTGTGTAGCCAAATTTCCAATTGATACCTACAGGCAAGAACGGCCACAACTGAAAAACGCACAAGTCGAAGACTAGGTGAACATGCGTATATCATTCGCGATGGATCCAAAAAAATGAAACCATACCAAGATGCGAGGTCGCAGTGCTGGACAAGAACGGTTCGAACAACGCAGTAAGGCAGGATCTTGTTGAAGCTGGTTCAAGGATGCTTGACATCTCCAGCACTGACGTCCCCACTGCACCCCGAAGAAACCTTTGGCTTCCAGGTGTTTTTTGCACCGCATTTCAGACCACAAGGCTAAGGATGCAAAGTCAATCTGCTTGAGACCTCGCAAAGCACGGTACTTTTTGAATTTCCCACGGATTCCGGGAGAATAGCTGAGACCCTTCTTGTGAAATTCTCTGTTGACACCAGAACTCGTAGCGATGGTGCGACTCGGAGGTCGTTTGCGCCCAGAGGGATATCTATCATGTCCGAGGGATTTTTTCATTGGACGTTCCCTGTGTGAAACTCGGACCTAAAAAGGCTTTGCAAAAAGACGTGACATGAGTGGAAAATGGCCACTGGCTTGCTCAAAAAAACCTCACACCTAGTGAAACACATGGCACCCACAACTTCACCAACCAAATTCTGGCGACTGGGAGAAACGTGCAAGGTGTGTCTGCAGTCAAGGTATCAGAGTCATGGCCAAGTGGTTTGAATTGATTCCCATGATATTCGCGATTGACAGGCCATTTCATTCTGCGGAAACTTCATGCTTCATTCTTCATCAGGTGCAAAGATCTCTCAGCAAACAAACCGCAGCAGCAGCTCTTTTTCCGATTGGCACAAAGTTCTTCACACATCGCGCTCAGTGTTTCGGCGCAAACTGGCAGGGAGTTCTGCATACTTGTTTCTCATGAACTTGGGCAGCTCCGACCATTTGTCTTTCGGAACAGGAGCGGAAAAAAAACACATTCTTTTACCATCTTGTACTTTCTTGAACCTATTGCAAAGCAAGCGAATCTGTCCTGCAAATTGACCAGAAGCATAAAGGTGCGGCGACAAAGCATATCCACAGTCTGCCCGCATGCATCTACCCCATTTTGTGTCAGGCAGGGAGGTCGCTCCATCTTCATCTGCGACCGGTTTGACACGGTCCTCAAAGAGCGCAGCCCGCTGCAGCATCGACATAGGGCCGCCAGACGAAGACGCAGCCGAAGATGAGTGAGTGAGCTCGGCAGCAGAAGCTGAGGGCAACCTGAGATTCATCATTCTCAAATGCAAATGAATGCATCAGGGAAAGAATTGACAGTACAAATCCTTGGAAAACAATTCGAAAAACAAACCAAGAAGCGGGGCATTCACAGAGTGCTTCAAAAGATAATCGAGTTTTTGTCGCAAAGCTATAGGACTATCGATAATCTTTCCACCTTGGAAGCGCGGTGGCGACAAACTTTCCGATTTAGCTGACGATGCATCTCCTTCAGCATCTTGACTTTCGGATTCCGATTCCAAAGTCAACGTAGGAGCCAACATTCTTCGAATCTCCGGGCTCTCACAGACCTAGGATACAACAGTTTGAACGTCACGAACATGACAGTACAAAGTCTATTTCGTCTATTTCGGCATCCGACAAGAAATGATAACGAGGTCATCTAAGGAAGAAAAGTAAGATGTCAAGAAAAAAACTAAAACCGAACTCAGAAACAGGAATCACGGAGGGTGGATGTTCAAGAGTTCTGCGTCCTGCAGTCGAAAGCGGCTCAATGGGCTGCCCAGATTCCAGCAAATTTTGCAACATCATTTCACATTGAAAGTCCCAAGGTTCAGCCAACTCTGAGTCAGGAAAGCTCTGCGGCATTGTTCCACGTAGCCGCTTCTGCAACCATTCACCTTGTTGAAGAACTTTCACTGGCAGAGGCCTATGTTCTTTCACATAACGAAACCAAATTTCCTTGAGAACCGACAAACCCTGGCGAAGGCTCGTCCAATGATACACTCGTTCCACTGCAGCAAAGGTGGTCTCAGCTCCAGCATCCCCATGCCATTTCAACGCTAAGATGTAGTGAACATCCCACAGTTCTTCCGTGCTCAAAAAGGACCAAAGAACACAGACAGGTGGAAACTTTTCATGAGCTGCGCGGAGGAGAATTAACAATGTAACACCATACAGAAGCGGATCCATGGAAACAGAGCCCAGCAGCGAGCTACACAAGCAAAGCTGTGCTAGACAAGCATGACATTCCCATGATATTCGCGTTAAACCCTTTCTTGCGTTTGAACCATGTGACTACGAACTACTTTTGGAAACTTATTATATGTCTAAGCAAACTTGACGAACTCTCACGCAACCAAGAACTCCAACCAGCCCTGACACACCAATGCAGCCCAGCCCCAACATCTGAGATGCGTACCTGCAGCGCAGGTAGCAGGCAGACATGACCGGTGAAATTTACATAAACAAATCATCCTGACAAGTATATATTATTCAGTAAATATATAATTATATAATACAGTAAATATATCATACAGTTAACACAGACCCAACCCCCCAACCCCAAATACGTTCTTCGCGTACCATCAACATCGAAAGCAAGTGCACACACACTGCCCCCAAGACCTTCTGAGCGTAGCAACCCCCCCCCAACCCCAGATGATCAGCGTAACATCATCAGCGTAACATGAACGTTAACATCCCACCCCACCCCTCCCCAACCCCAGATGATCAGCGTAACATCATCAGCGTAACATGAACGTTAACATCCCACCCCACCCCTCCCCAACCCCAGATGATCAGCGTAACATCATCAGCGTAACATGAACGTTAACATCCCACCCCACCCCTCCCCAACCCCAGATGATCAGCGTAACATCATCAGCGTAACATGAACGTTAACATCCCACCCCACCCCTCCCCAACCCCAGATGATCAGCGTAACATCATCAGCGTAACATGAACGTTAACATCCCACCCCACCCCACCCCAACCCCAGATGATCAGCGTAACATCATCAGCGTAACATGAACGTTAACACCCCACCCCCCCCAACCCCAAAAGCAACCCAGTAAAAACGGGGCTAACCCCCCCCGTCCAGCCAACATGTTGCGACTTTTGAATTGCAAAGCCATTTAAGCCCCTCTTCATTGTAGAGATCCTGATGTTTTGAGACATTGGTGCTTGGCTGAATTCCGGCAGGTTGATGGAGACCTCAGCAAAGAAAAATACAACGTTCTGAAGAAAGCGGGCGTTGGACAGATTTATTTGCAACTGCCTTTGCTCAAGGTGTTCATGTGCTTGGTTCCAATTAGTTATTCCTCTCCCAAAATCATGGTGCCCAAAACCGACTCATCAACTTTGCTCCCTAGTGGAGGGTGGCAAACATCTGGTGAATATGTGCCTTGCCCTATCTATGACCACGACGTGGTGGTACATTTGATGTACTGCACGGTGGTGATAACATTGATGGCCTACACGTCTTATCACAACATGAAGCTTCTCGAACTTATTTTGAATTGGCAAAGCTTTGCGTTTGGGGTGGTGGAATTCATCGTGTGTCCCTGATATTCCCCTCAAAATGATGTGGCAAAATGTGGCAAATGATGTTCAACCACTCATTGGGCCAGCTGATTGCCCCCAAGCCCTCTGTAGTAAACCAGTTGGCGTCAGGCTATACATTCCCTCCCGTGACCGGGACGTTGCAAAACAATTGAGAGAGGAATTAGAGTCCCGGCTTGCTGCCACTGAGAATGATGAGGATATGCAAGGTACAGATACATCAGTCGGAAACCGACCTTGAGCAATTCGCAAATGTTCACAGTATGTTCACAGTCTACGGACAACAGTGATGAAACTGTCACAATGTGATCCCAACTAGAGGGTTGACCGGGTGGCAGTGAAAAAAACGTGATTGCAGGATGCTGATTTTAAAATGCTTTTAGCCGATCGATCATGCGGATCATATTCACTGATTTCGTACTTGTACGTTGGTTTCTAGTGTTTTTCTTTCCAGTCGGCCATTTAGCAGATTCCTGCTTGCCCTTCTCGCTTTAGCATGTTTTTATCCCATAGGTGTCCAAACGAAAATCAACACTGGCATAGAGACAAAAGCCTCCCCGGTCGACTGAGGTGATTGTGCCTCCGCAGAAATATCCACTGACAGCCTTTGCGCCTTTGCATGCTAAGATTTCAGACACGTGGAGAAGACTTCTGATGTCAAAGACCAAATATTGCGACACCTTCAACTGTAAGCTGCAGCAGGCCGTCACCTTCCTATCGGTAATTCGTTAAGAATGACCAGACCAAATTGAATGTTGTCACACTAAAGCGCTGCAAAAGATGTAACACTCTTCAAAGGGCAAGAAAAAGGTGAGGCAGTTGGGTGCGGAGGGCATGCTGGAACGTATGAATATGAAGCACTCACACTGCTTTCACAGCAGTAGTAGATGGGGATAAGACCTGCAAGGTGTTTGGAAAGGTCTGTGAAATTACTGTGCCCGAACCCTTGGCTGTCAGTGCTCTTTCATGCTCTTAGTCTTTCAATTTTTGTTTGCAACGCAGTTGCCTTGATGAGCTGCCCAAGATCTCTCTTCAAGCGGCTGGGAGACCCGGAACGTGCACTTGAAGCGGGCAGAGTTGGAGTGTGTTGGAGATTATTGGAGAAAACATGAGAAACACATGTGAACCATGGACTGTTCGCTTTATGTACAGGATGGGGTCACGTTGAACTCCTTGGTCTCCTGCTGCGGTCGCGCAGAAGCTTGGCAGGAGGCATGGCACAGATATGAACCGATGTCATTGGCGAATGTGGACAGTTCTTTGCTGCAAGGATCCCAGAGGTTGATTTTGCTTTTGGCACTTAGTAACTTAGTAAGGAACAGTTGCTCACCTTTGGCAGGCCCTATGCATATTCAGCTCCTTCGAGACCCGGCTAGTCCACAGGGACAGGACTCTTACACGTGATCACATGCAAATGCAAAGCTATTACGTTTTTGATGTTCTGTCAAATTACATCAAGTTAATTTGGATTGTGGCTACGACAATATTTATATATATATATAATTATAATATATATATATAATTATAATATATATATATATAATTATAATATATATATATATGTGTGTGTGTGTGGAAGACATGTATTGAAGAGACTCTCGCTCAACACAATCAACACACGTCCATACACATCTCTTTCAGACAGTGTGATGCGTCGTTGTGGTTGCTTCAATGATTGGTGATCATGGTAATTTATCTCTGGTGTGGAGCTGTTTCTCTTTGTTTTCAGGATCAGCTTCAACTCCGCAATGTGGCCCGGCAATGCATGGCAACATCAGCACCTGATAAATTTTCATTGAAGGTATTGAAGCAGGCCTTTGCCCAGCTCTGTTTGGAATGACATGTGCCGTTTCCTGACGTGAGGTATGCCTGTGAGCGTGGCAGCTGCTGGCCTTTAGCAGTGCATCTCCTGCGGGGGATTTCGCAAGCAGGCCCAGATCGAGGAAGTTCATGATCGAAGGAAGTTTAGAAGTCAAACTTCCGACAATATGGACGGATGGAAAAGCAGAGGTGGGAAAAGTCAGAGAAGAGAAGAGAAGAGAAGAAGAGAGAAGATCAGAAGAAAGAAGATGCAGGTGCGTGAAAGGTTAGAAAAGTCGCGAAACACTGTGTTTTTCCAATGTTTTGTGGCTCTGGAGGGTCGAAAAGTAGGCTCGCTAAAGCGGCGGGTGCGGAGCCATGTGGCCAGATGAGAGATGAAAAATTGCACGCCGTTGTGGCGCGAAACACATTTCCAGGTCAAAATGCTAAAGGCACCACAGCGTCGGAGCATTTTTGGAAGTTGAGATGTCGAAAAAGTGCACACCGTTGCGGCGTGAATGTACAAAACACCTCAGTGTCGGAACGCTTTTGGAAGTTGAGCTGTCAAAAAAGCGCACGCTGAAGTCAAAATGTACACAAAACACGCCAAGTTCGGAACAGATTTTGAAGTTAGGATGTGGTTTTGTGTGGCAGGCGCAGGGGATTGTGCACCTTGTCAAATGTGAGTCAGACGTGGGGTTTTCCAGCAGTTGCAATAACGATGGCAGGCATGCCACATTTCAAGAAGATCTGCAAAGATGCATTTCGCGTGGCAGGCGCCGTACAAGAGACGTGTTCATCAGAGATGTTAGTAGGTCAGGGCGCTGATTTCCTGAGAGGGGTTGCATTTTGGTGCATCACATCGTCAGGTTTGCTAAGATGGTCTTGCGTGACAGGTGTAGCATTTCGTATGACCTGGCCTCATTTTTTCGTGGCAGGGGCAGTACTGTAGACAGATGGAGTGGAAAAATCGCAAAACGCAGTGGTACGAGGCCGTCAGCTCTGCACTCTGCTAATTAACTGGTTAACTTTCCATTTTTGAACGACGTCTCGGAGAATTGCTTCGTTTTTTTGATGCTGCCAACGTCGAAAATTGAGGAAGTCTCGAAGAATTGCTTCGTTTTCAACGTTGTCAAGTTCAAAACTTGAGAAGGTATCGCAGAATTGCCGCGTTTTTGATGTCGTCACGTTCAAAAACTGAGGACACAGAATTGCTTCGTTTTCAAGCTTGCAGATAGACAGATAGATAGATAGATAGGTAGATAGATGGATGGATGGATAGATGGATAGACAGAAAGATGGATCGATAGACAGACAGATAGATAGACAGATAGAGAGACAAACAGGTAGACAGACAGATAGACAACTACAACTACACTACGTTACATTACAACTACAACTACCACTACCACTAATTACACTACAACTACATCTTCAACTTCCATTTCCACTTCAACTACACTACAGCTACAACTACCACTACCACTAATTACACTACACTACAGCTACAATTACAACTACCACTACCACTACCACCACAGCTACAAGTACAAGTACAAGTGCAACTACAACTTCAATTTCATTTTCAACCACACTACAACTACAGCTACCATTACGCTACACTACAAATATCAATACCACCACGACTGCAACTACAACTACAGTTACAAATACAACTACAAGCACGCTACAACTACACTACAACTACATCTGCCACCACATCTACAGCTACAACTGCCACTACACTACTCTACACTACAACTACACCTACAACCGCAACTGTAATTGCAACTACAACTACACTGAACAACACTACAACTACAATTTTAAGTACGAATACGCTACAACTACAACTATAAGTACAACTACCACTACAACTACAACGTCAACTGCAAACTACACCACACCACACCGCACTACTACATTCAGCAGTTGTGGGTGAGGTGACCACTGCAACCACTCCAAAAGGACAATTCCAACCACCCTTCGGTCCGTCAGTGGATTCGCTCTGCCATCCATACATCGCAACAACTCACCTCTCCTATTGTTGTCTATTTTTGAAACTTCCGCCACCGCCTGGTATAGACATATAAATATAGAGAGGGAAAGGGGATAAATGAGGTGCTTGGATCAATGGCATGCAGCATGCCTATCAGCCTGCACCATCCTGAATTGAAAGTGAACAGAAGATGCAAAGAGAAAGATCACCATTCCGGCGAGTGCAACTATCGTATTAGTTCACAATTTGTTGCTTTGCTAGGCATCCAGCCGGATGCCATTTCGTTCAACACTGCTTTGGGCGCCCTCGAGGCAGTCCACAATCTATGCTGCAGATCCCACGACACAATCCGATTTAATGTCAAAGGATCAATCCGTCAATTTTCCCATGTTCGTTAATTTGTTTCATTGTGGCTATTCAAACAGGCCAATCAACCACTGCAGCTAGTTATTGCCCTGTACTTCTACAAAAGAATGCTTATTGCAATCCAATCATGTGTGCAGTGGGCTGCAAGAAACGCAGGAATCCGGCCATTGGGAGCTATCGCTTAGTTTGCTAGAGGCAGGAACCAGGAACTCAAAGCAAAATTCACATGCACGGTCAAGTCAAGATCCCTCGCACTTTTGTGCTTAGATAATCTTAGATCTCAATGTTCCGAGCAAAGGCTGTGTTTCAGCAGTTTGATCAGTTTTTCGGTTGGTTTCCAGGAAAAAAACAAAGTTTGGCCTTCAGATCCCATTGCGGTTGGTGTTGTAGTCACCTGCTGTACCTTGGATCAATGAAGCACATGCCACATGTTTGTGTCTGCTTGTGCCCCAGGACTGGCATATACAACGCAACATTTGTTTTTTGCTCTTGACCATGTTGTACTGTTTGTGCTGGTAAAAATTCGGGGCGGTTGTATGTTTCTGTTTTGTCAGGCACCTGCGATTTCCACAATGACTACTAACTCTGGGATATACTGGTGCCTTGCAAGGGGGCATTGGTTAAAGCATACGGAACAAGACCACCAAATGGATATCAATGCGTTGTACCCAAACCATGTGCCCACCCCAGAAACACAACAACAGTTTGAGGTGCGCAGCGTGCAGCACGAACTTTTGGTTGGCAAATGCAGCAATAATCACCAATATGTTTGAGACCATGTATATTTGCTGATCATGAATTTGCAGGCTTCATGAAGCTTCCCCACCAAATCCGCTGACAGTGTATCGGACTCCTCACCTAGGCGAGGCCGCACGAGCGGTGTCAGCAGCTGTTCGGGTGGCATCAGCACATGCAACGCCGATGGTTGCAGAGGCAAGCGTCTCACATGGAACCCTAGCTGCGACAGCGTATGGGAGAACAGGAAGAGATGATTTGCGAAGGCATGAGGCAGAAAATTGCCTTGCACACAGGTCCACGTTTGCAGCCAGGCCACTTCGCCATTTTCCAGTGGAAGGACATTGCTGGCAGACAAGGCTGGGATACTGGGGTAGCCCGCGTTATGTGGATATATTTGTGTAAGTTTGTACATAATCATCATAATCATTGTTTTTGGTTTAAATCGTTTATCATAGTTTATTGTTACTTTGACTTATATATATATATATACTGTAGTATAGTTATACGTATGCAATTGGTATTCATGGTATTTATTTGTCACTATTGTCGTCTATTTTTAAGCAATCTCATGTTCATCGTTGCTTGCAATATCCTTGTCATTCCTTGCTATTCTTGTCCCTATTCGAAGTGCTGAGTGATTTCAACATGTTGCTTCCTGCGGGGGGGGGGGCAACTAGTGACAATGGTGGCAGGGACAGGCAATACCTGACTTCCAGCACACCTCGGTGCTCCTTGAAGAGGTGCCATTTCCATGTTCTGCAGGTCACTGCAGTTTTCTTGTTCAAATGATAGATTTATACTGATGTATATATACATATAATTACATAGTATTATATGATATCGGAAGACTCTAATATATATATATATATATGTATGTATGTTCTGAATTGTTCTGATGATTTCTGATGTTTTGTGGCACTGTTCCCATTTTTCGGGATGATGATTCCTAATCCCAAGAGTTCAGGAAAAATCGACACCAGGTCCGTGAGGCCTTCAAGGCTGCGCAGCTGCCACCTGGGGCAGTCATTGTGGATTGCACCTAGGCGCAGTTGCAGAGTATCCCCGTAGCAAAAGCGGATGGACTGATTTTTGACTTAAGATATTTAAGATTGATAATCATGTTTTATTTTGAATACAATTTCATCAGCTGAAGCTCTACGGGGGTGATTTCAGCAAAAAAAACACCCTGTCTTGACACATTGCCGTTATTTCACAGACATGACATGGGGACAACGGGAGCACTATATGGTTGCTGGCTCTGCAAGAGCGGCATTGCAGCCAAGGTACTCTTGGGGGTGCAGGTCACAGCAAGGCAAAGAAGAGTTTTTCGATGATAGCACGAACAAAGAAGGATGCCACAAGTTTCATGATCGCATTTGTTTGGTGGAAAATTATTGGTTGGATGTGGTTAGATAGAACATGAGAAAACTACGGCATTTCAATGGTATAGTTCCGGAGCAGCCACTGTGCGCCTGGAAGCTTCGCAAGGCAATCTTGGACGCACTGCCGCAGGCATGGTATATAATGTTTGTGATGTGCGTCTTGCGCTGATTTTTGATGCCGCTATTTGTCAAAGGCATCAGATGGCTGAAGCGCTCTGCATGTAGTACGGAACATGTTCACACAAAATGAATTCAGTGTATCAAAGGGGCCCCATGCTGCCCCTGCCATTGACCGCATTCAACCATAGATGCAAAGGACCAAGTGTGATGTCAGAAAAGTATGGTCATTGGATTGCAATATATTCCAATTGAATTCCAATGAAGAAAATGTTGCCCCATGTGTGCAAACTTTATTCCCATCAGGTGAGGCTTCTTGGAATTGATCGAGATGCAATGGCACTTCAAGCTGCAAAGCAGCGGCTGGCGATCTACCAAGAGCGTTTGAGTCTCAGATGGCTCAGTGAGATGAAAGCCTGGATGTTTGGCATTCAAAAAGGAACATGCTAAACGATGTTAAGGACATAGTAACTTAGTATTGAACCCATATTGGACTTGTTCAACATTGCAGCTACCATCAAAATCAGCAAAACAGGTTGAAATTAAGTCCGCACCAGCACTCTTGAGGGTGGACATGGGATGAAATTGGATAGGTTTTTACGCTTCAGCTTTTACAACTGCTCAGCTGCCATTTATATCAGATCATCATGAGTGAAGCAGGCGCAATACAAATGACAGGACACCGCAGGAACTGAACACGATTTTGTTTTTTTTGACACTCCATTTCACGCAGATAAAATATATATATATAATATATATATAATATATATATAGGTAGGTACTGGCTGACAATCGGTCGATGTTAGATTCAGTTAGATTCAGTGACAGAAGCAAAGCGATGCACTTTCCGTAGCCGTCCGTAGCACTGTGGTACTTATTGCAATCTACTGGTAGCACATTAGGTCGTATTGGTATGTATTGGTGTGCGAACATAATAAGTATCAATACGTATGCATTTGTATATAAGCGGTTTAGCAAGCTTGTATTGCACCTAAGTTTGAGCCTGCTAGATTTTGCCTCATGCTTCGCTTCACCTTTACGTCCGATATATGCACTATTACGCGCCCCTCTTCAGAAATCCTTGCAACCACGATAGGCGTCCACAACACCTTGATTGAAGTTTATATTCAGCTGGCCCTGTCACAGTGCAGGGCATGTAGGCAACTGTTTTGCCTGGCAATGACGACTATGCGGGCTGCAGTCTACACTGCTTTCTCTGGGTCAATTGAAATACAGGAGGCGTGACTTATTGGAGTTGAAACATTGTTGAAATATGTCGAAACATGTTGAAACGTGTTGAAATGAAACGTGTTGAAACTGCAGGATGTGCCATCAGTTTGTCGATTTCTTGCCTCGTTCTTCCATTGTCGACAGGTTCCCAAGGCTGCAGCTCCACCTGGCGGCCTTTTACTGCGTGTGAAGGCATCGCATCACAAAATTCAGTGAAACACCATGAAATGTCGCCAATGAAACACGCCAATGTGGTCAATGTGAATGTGACCCAGGGATACTCAAGAATACTCCGAGTGAGAGCGGTTTTGCTTATTTCTGTCAAGCTGTTGGATCTTTTTGAGCAAGGCTTGTGGGGTTTGCCGCTCAGACTACCATGGTTGGAAAGGCCTTGATTCTGACATTGTCACGTAGCTTGGCAGTGTGAACAGAAGTGTCACCGTTGAGTGATATATTTTTTCCTGAGCATCTCTGCGCACTGGTTGCGTTGCAGCAAGGTGAATTGGTCAGTTACCGTCAGTTCAAGTTTAGGAAGAGACGCAAGTCCAGTTGTTCACAGAAATGGCCAGGACATCAGCAGACATTGTAAAGGAAAAAAAGCCAAGGAAATGCGACGATTCAAATGTTAGCTCATAGGCACTTTGCAATCTTTGCTCTCAGGCATGGCTTGCCTTTCACCCCAGGTCATGAGCTGAGACTCGGCTGCCCTGTAAAGGAAAGATGGGAAAGGAACTTGCTCACGCTGTGCTTCAGTTTTGGTGGTTTGATTTGTCTTGAGATCATATTCATAATCTCATTTCACAAATATGTAATATTATATATATATATATATGTCTGGCTGTCTGGCTGTCTGGCTGTCTGGCTGGCTGTCTGGCTGTCTGGCTGTCTGTCTGGCTGGCTGTTTGGCTGTCTGGCTGTCTGGCTGTCTGTCTGGCTGGCTGTTTGGCTGTCTGGCTGTCTGGCTGTCTGGCTGTCTGGCTGTCTGGCTGTCTGTCTGGCTGTCTGGCTGTCTGTCTGTCTGTCTGTAAACAGCTGTACTTTTGCAGAGAATGAGAAGGAAAGCGAGCCAGTGTCACAGAAGTGGGGACACCGAGCATATTTGGGTGGAGTGTTTGGCCAGAAATCAATCGCATGCGGCACCAGGATGCACCTCAGGGATGTTTTCAGTGGTTTCTTTCCATTTCTTTCCTCACGTCGATCCTTGGTCAGCCAGGAGTGGTGTTGTGACGAAGCTTGGTCAAGGAACAACCAAATTTCAGGCACCTTTGCTGGCTGTTCTTGAGGGAGCACAAATATTTGTGCGAGCAGGGATGGTCAGATGCATTCCATTAAGTGCAGATGGATTTATATTATGATTGTAATACGATGTACTGTACAATAATAACTACATATATATGTATATATATCTGTATAGCTGCACCGCCCAGTGGTACTCGTACAGATAAATGAGTACTTTTGGGGTGGTTTGTACACTTTTTTGGTAAACGGGCAGATTCTGAAAACCAGCTCATTTTCGAGCACATGTTTTAAAAGGTAACTATGTGGACACATTTTTCCAAGTGGCTAGGTTTTGTGCAGTTTTCAGTCTTGCCAGCCCCTTTCCAACTTGTGCTCAAACGTATAATACGCCAATATGTCCAAATCAGCCCTGATGCGCAAGCATGTGGCTGGGTTTGAAGCCTACTTGCTTTCACAATGTGTCTGTTGAAAGATGGCATGGGCACAGATGAATGATGTGACTGACATGCAGCTCTAAATTTGTGCAAAAAAATCTCGTATATAGCTTTACCTAAATCACAAGCAAAGCTGCTGCGCACGATATTGAGGATGGTCTTGTTTCCATGCAAAAATGTATGCATGACTTAGCTTTCAGATGTTTGCATCTGATTCCTCCTCCAGGATGAAAATCGGAATTTTCCCGCGCACTGTGAAATGTTTGAAGCCCTGCCCATGGGTAACCCGGCACGACGCACAATTGCTTGATTCATGCATGGGACTATTTGTGGAAACGCCCCCGGGCGAAATTAGCCGGCCTGTGAAGTGGCTGCATGACAAAGTTTGACCGTGAACTCTTGGGAACACATTCAGGCTGACGTTTGCTTGATGAAAAATGGCGCGTTGCATTAGGCCGGCTTTGACATGCATGATGTTGACATTTTGCGCCTGATATGATCAAAGGATCTTGCGCGAAACGGGCGAGAAAACACGCGAAACGGGTGCAAAAAAGCGAGAAACGGGCGCGAAAAGAAAATGTGTACCACTTGATCCTCTTGTTTTGACAGTCACTCACGTTTTTGAAGACCCTTTTTGCGCATGGTCCGCAGAAGGCATGGTCCGAAGAGAAAGCGCAGTGGTCTTGAGCGTGTGGGGCACGTTGTTTCAGCCTGTTCCTTGGCAGTTCTTCCATCACACCTTTGAGTGCACGCATTGGCTTATTCTCGTTTTACTTCGGCTCCAGGTGCGCAAGTTTCTGGTTTTTTTTTCACGTGTTCATGTTATGTGCGCGCTTTGTGTTGTGATGTGTTGTGACTGTGGTTCTTTTGTGTTGCATTTTGAAAGGATTCTTCGGATGGGAGATGCCCGACTGTTGATGTGGTGTTGTGTGAAACCTGCGCTGCAGCTGAAGGTGTGTGCTTGAGGTATCTTGGTGTAGAAAAAACATACGTGATGTTGAAGTGGATACTTCAGATTTACCCTGTCCAAAGTTCGGCTGTTCGCGATGCAACCCATGTCGTCAGGCGTGTCTGGTCGAGGTCGTATTTGGCATGCTGCACGTGCGTTAGCGAGTGAAAAAAGTGTCTTTTCGAACCTATGGAGAAAGAATCAGGTTGATTACTATGGGGGGCAACAGACCTCCGGACACGTTTTTTTTTTAGACCCCTAAACGGGCACATTTTGAAATCGGGCAGGAAAAAAGTGGTACCCATATATATATATATATATATATATATATGTGTGTGTGTGTGTGTGTGTATGTATATATATATATATATATTATTATATATTATATATATAATACCGTATTTTTTAAAAGATATCCAGCGAAAGTATGAAAAGTTTTGGAAATGCTGAGCGTCGCAACCTCCAAAGTGTGGCATTTGTCCAAACGGCCAGGTGGGTGACCGTGTGGCGGTCCCCTTTATTCTTAGCTGCGGCAATTGCCGGCAATGCGCTAGGAATCGTCCGACCATTTGTGAGGTGGGCCATTGGCAAACTGATTCGTTTCCATTTGACTTAAGCAAGGCAATTGCTTGGTGCATCATTTGTTGCTTTGTTGCGCACACAGTTTGGTTGACTGTAGCACTTGTATTGGAGTGGTTTCAAACATAACAGGTTCTGACGTGCTTGGAAAATTTGTACTCTTGACTCTGCAGGCCCAAGCGCAACCCGGATTTACAATGCCTGGCGGCTTTGCGGAGTTTGTTTCGATCCCTCGTGCAGACCGAAATGTCAGTTTGATGCCCCCAAAGGCAGGAGTCTAAGTGAATACGGTCTCCGGCTCAACAGTTGGGCAAACAGTAGTGCACAGTGTACTGTACACTAGTTGCAGCATGATGCAAATGTTGCTGCATCCCTTGTTGGCACAAGTGTACACTAATTGGCGCGAGCAGATCCGTAGCCACTTGGAGACTGCAAAGGTGTCCTTCCTTCAAGCTGCGGCTTTGGGTTGTCGTATGACTACAGCCTACCGGGCAGTCAACTAGCCTCAATTACTCAATTTCAAGGAATTTCAGGGGCTCACGCACAAGCACATGAAACGTCATGAGACAACGCTGCTTAAGAATGCTTGAGAATTGTGGTGGGCACATTTGGGCACCAATTTGATCCAGTCTTGAAACATGGATTCTGCATTTGGAGGTTTCCTAAAATGGGTGTACCCTCAAATCATCCAAAATTGGACCATTTCAGTATTGAAACCTATGGTTTTGGGGATCACCCATTTTCAGAAACTCCCATTTATGTCACCGGCGCATGTGCCCAAGGTAATACAGCAGGGTCGCCTTCAAGTTGGTGAGACGGTAGCGATCTTCGGTTGTGGTGGCCTAGGGCTTGCTGCTGCACCTTGGCCAGACATTTCAATATCATGTTCCGTCCCCCTCCCCCCAAACAAATGCTATACTGTATGCCCTTTTTAAAGTTGAGTTTCAAAAAACTGTTTCCCAGACAGGATGCGCTCATACAGTTACACAATGATTTTGATTGGCGACAATTGAAATCTAATTAAAACGTTTTTTCTGCCGGTGAACTTGTGGCACTGGTACTGTAGTACTTGTAGTACTTGTAGTGCTTGTAGTGAGTGGGGTTCAGCATGTTGATTGCGTTACCTTTTGCACCTCAAGTTGTTTATGAAAGGTGTAACAAGAAAAAGAGAAAAACAAAGAGAAAGAGGAAGGGGAAGGGGAAGAGAAAGGGAAAGAGCAAGAGAAAGAGAAAGAGGAATGGAAGAAGAAGAGGAAGAGAAACAAAAAGAAAAAGAAAAGAGAGAAAGAGAAATAGAAAGAGAAAGAGGAAGAGGAAGAGGAAGGGAAAGAGGAAGAGAGAAAGAGAGAAAAGGAGGAAAAGAGAAAAGAGAAAAAAAGAACAAGAGAAAGAGAGAAAGAGAGAGAGAGGGAGAAAGAGAAAGAGAAGGTTGCTTTTCTTTCTTCTCTTGGGTCCAGAATCAGCTCTGGAAAAGTGTGCTGCAATTGTGACCCCTGCGAACAAACCTACCAAAGTGATTGGACCCTCTCATGGTCCAGTGCTTTGAAAAAAGATGTTCTTTAATAAAGTTTTAGTATATAAGGGATTGGATCTTATAGGAAAGGGATGCAAGCAAGATTTGTTCCAGAAAAAATGCCAAGTCGTTTATTTTTCACGCAAACATTGTTTTTGAGAAAAAATGGTCTGCCTGCCAAATTTCTTTTGCCACAATGGTGAACCGGAAGATCTAATCAGGGGTGCTGAATAATTTGGAAAATTCTAACCACGATAGCGAACCTAGCTACTAATCAGGACACTACATTATTTCAATTAATCATGTTCAATTAGAGTTCATAGGACAATGACGATGTTGAAGTGTTGCTCACGGTGTTGCTCTTGAGCTATGCAGCATAGAGACAGATATACCTAGTAAGTAGACATACAGCTGGACGTTCTTCAATGCTTTGGAGGCAAAGAGGCCTGATGTACATTGATTTGGTGATAAGATGTTGCTTTGAGCAATCTCTCCTACATAAGCATTGACCAGTGTATTTGTTTTACTCCGCGATATGGCATGCATGAGTCATGCTGCTTCTTTGCTTCATTCACCTGGCATATTTCCTGAAGAAGTTTGGAGTTCATTATTTGGAGGTTATGATTGCTGCAGCTGCTAGAGACAATGTTCGGATTCTTGCCGTAGACACCAGTGACGAGGCATGTAAGAAGGCACAGCCAAGGGGAATGGGATGGAATTTGAAAGGATGGAAACGAGCTGGTTCAAAGCAGTGGAGTCGACAGCCAGAAAAACTCCGAATCGAACACACACGTATTGGATGTAATTTGTGCCCTGCTGCAAGCTAGATAACCTTCCACTGGCGTCATTCACGCATCAACCTTTGGTGTGTGTTTGATTGAGTTGAGGGGGCGTGCCAATCACTTGTCATGATTTGCAACAGGCCATTGAATTGGGGGCTTGGCATGTGCCGTGGCTTCTTTCAGAAACTGAGACAGACGACTCCAAACCACAAATTATCACTGACCAAAGGTGGAGCGTTGGAGGGAAGAGACGTCCTCTAAAGTCATGTGGACTTGATAGCGCGTCACCAGCTGACGTTGCTGAGGCCTTCAATGCTAAAGAAGGTGCTTGACCTGCAAAAGGATAGACTAGGTATTACGCGGGATCATGTGATATCACCTGAAACATTGTGGTGGCACTGAATGAATTGCATCTTGAGAAATCGATCAGACACCGTGTCCTAAGTGGCAGTAGTGAGAGAGGGGGAGCTAGAACTATATATATAAATTATACTAGCCTATATAACATTATAATATTATATATATATATATACGGCAGATGCCTGGGCTTTGCCCCGCACCGCAACGACGACGGGCAACGCATCATTGTCATCATCATCGTCACCAACATCATCAACACCATCATCATCATCATCATCATCATCATCCTGTTCTTCTTCTTCCCACTTGAATGTAAAGTTTAACGGGGGTTGGATTTTAATATTCCCTAATACCTTTGTTGATCTTCCCAATTGCATGTAGAATTTAGCGGGGTGGGATTCTAATATTCCCTAATACATCCTAATAATCCCTTCCTCCTAATACTTACCCCCCCAAATCATAAACACCTCAGGTAGTTTTTAGTAGTAGGGGGGGTATTTATTATTAGGGAACCCTATTAATAAAATTAAAACTTTAATAATAAAAACTTTTTTTCCGATTTCAAAATCAATTAAATTTCCTTATATAACGCAATTAAAATATTGCCAAATATTGGATTTCGAAGCGGACTCTATTAATAAAATTAAAACCTTAATGATATTTTTTCCGATTTCAAAATCACTTAAATTTCCTTGTATAACGCAATTAAAAATATTGCCAAAAATTGGATTTCGAAGCGGACCCTATTATATAATAAAATTAAAACCTTAATAATAAAAACTAGTTTGTTCGATTTCAAAATCGGTTAAATTTCCTTGTATAACGCAATTAAAATATTGCCAAAAATTGGATTTCGAAGCGGACTCTATTGATAAAATTAAAACCTTAATAATCTTAATAATAAAGACTGTTTTTCCAATTTCAAAATCAATTAAATTTCCTTGTATAACGCAATTAAAATATTGCCAAAAATTGGATTTCGAAGCGGACTCTATTAATAAAATTAAAACCTTAATAATAAAAACTAGTTGTTCTTTCCTTATATAACGCAATTAAAATATTGCCAAAAATTGGATTTCGAAGCGGACCCTATTAATAAAATTAAAACCTTAATAATAAAAACTAGTTTGTTCGATTTCGAAATCACTTAAATTTCCTTGTATAATGCAATTAAAATATTGCCGAAAATTGGATTTCGAAGCGGACCCTAATAATAAATTAAAAGCCCTAATATATAAATTTCAAAATTGTCGGACGGACCCTAATAATAAACACCCCGGGGTTGACTAGTTTTTATTATTAGGAGGCGAAACACACAAATGGTAGCTTTATATTTAAACTGTTTTCTAAAGGGGATCAATTAAAAGTCAAATTGGCCAATCTGAAATTTTCCGAAATTGGAGATGGTATTTGGGGGACGTTTAGTAATAGGGGGAAGGGATTACCTTTGTTGACCAAGTGAATGTAGAGTTTAACGGGGGTGGATTTTAATATTCCCTAATACCTTTGTTGAATTTCCCAATTAAATGTAAAGTTGCAACAGCATTTGATTGGAAATGGGAACCCGCTACGCTGCAACGCTGGGGCAAAGCCCAGGCGCTGCTCGTATATACATATATATATATTTATATATATATTATATATATATATATATAGTTATATAGTTATACACAGAACTCATGACACTTTGATGGGACAGAGCCTTCTTTTGTTGGAGTCTTCCGCCGTAGGCAACGAGTATGTGAGGTCCAAGATTGCAGAGGCACAAAGTGATGAAACTCACATAGAGTGGCGATGGGGCAGTGAAAACTTCCCATTTCGGCAAGTTTTGACAGGGGTTGGTAAATGTCCTAATTGAACATAACGCAACTATGGGGGATATACAGTAATATACTGTAATCTCCAACAGATGCTTGAAAGTGCTGGTAAAGATCTCCACAATGGGACATTTACCAAAATTTACCAACTGTTTGATCACATTCATGTGCAATAAATACATTATATAATTACTGTAAATCTATAATACAAATTAATACGTTATTTAATGTGCCACAGTTCGTTTCTGCCTTCAGGTCACAGGTGGTGTGGGGGCTGATTTGACTCTTGATGCTGCTGGCTTCGCGGAAAGCTGCGAAAATGCCGTTTGGTGCACTCGCCGGGGAGGGCGAAGCTTGGCAGAAGTGCTGCATAGTGCTGTGCCACTGCCAGATCTGCCAGTTTTTGTTGATTTCCAGTCGAGGAGCAGTGCCTGTTAATTGATTGCTTTGAGTTTCCTGAGTTGCCGCTTACTGCTCACAGGAGGATTTGACAGGTTCAAAGCCATCAAGGATTAACGCTTCAGTGCTTCATAGCGCTTCACAATGTTTAATACGGTTGTGGAGTTTGCTTTGAGCGTTGCTGTAGCCCAGGTATGGTCCAAGTGGGGCTCCTGCTGCATGGGAAGGAGCCGTCCATTCCCATGGCCAGGTCAAAGCAGCGTAGCCGCTACGGTCAAAGATGGACAAAGTCAATGAGATCGACACCAAAATCGACAGCAACAATGCCAAGAAACCTTTCTTTTCCATCCTTTTCCTAGTCTGAATATTTGTGAGATACAATCCTTTTCAATCCTTTTTAATTGTAGCAAAGTTCTCTGGGGGGTAAACCCGCATAAGTTCTTGGCGTAAGGTTTCTGTGATGACATACTTGTAATGAAAGTAAAACCTTCCTTTGCCACAGAAGCTGGGACGGTGTCCAGCGTAAGCAATGCCTATGCAACGCCTAAGGGGACGTGTTGGCTGATCCTTACAACATGACGCAGTAGATAGGTTTTGATAGAGCGCAGCCTCTATGTTGGACTGATGAACGCCTTAGATCATAAGTGTTGTCATTCTTCTACGATATCTTCCATTATTTTTGCCATTTGTGTGTACACTCAAGGATTGGACCCTTGCTTGCACAGGATTGCACAAGTCTTCAGTTTGCTCGTCATAATTCTTGATGCCGGCAAATGCTTTTTGCTGCACCATGGCAGGGTCGCAGGCCAAGAGATTGAGATCATTGGTTGACTTCTTAGCTTTACTGTACTTCAATTGAAATGCTTGTAACAAAAGTGTCAGCACGAGAGCTTGTGCAGCCTCAGCTCCAGCTAGACTTGCGACAATTTGTCATACTTGAGAAAAATCGAAAGCACAATCGTTGGAAACTATCACAAGTTTTCGTAGGGCCTTCACTTGCAGCTCCCTGAAATCCTTTGATGTCCCATGCCCAATCAACGCAAACAGTCTGAACTTGTGCAGCCACCGATGCCTGCGTCGTGTCGTGAGTTGATGCGAGTTCTGAGGTTCCCACGGCCTTGCCGCCAGCGACATGCCGGTTCTGCTCTTGATGGTCGCCTCAGGGAAGCTGCTGCCCGAGAAGCTCGTCACGCGTCACTTGGAAAGGAGGTACTGGGCTCGCACCTTTTCCATCCTTTTCCAATGTAGACAATCTCGAATCAACCTTTTTGAATTTTGATCTAGTATGATTTTGTATGATTCAGATATATTCAGATGAATCCCAACAAAAAGGTCACTGCTTGCGGCTGATGTGCAATGCAAATGGGCACACCCAATCGAAGGTTTGCGGAGTCTTAATTCTAGAAGGGTATATTGTCATTATTGTCTGGCGAGGTGAGGTCACCTTGGAAGAGGGTGCGAAGGCAGGGGACAGCGTAAGCTGCCAATACAACTCCAATAGATAGTTGGCCAGCAAGATCCAACAAGTAGGCCAAAGATGGCCAACGAAGTGGACCAAAGCATGCGATGCATCTCTATTAGCAGCTCTTGTCAGGCAATTGAAGCTATGGAGCATGGCTCCCCGTTGGGCATCACTATGATTACACACTTCAAGGCAAAAGATCTCAAAGAGTCCAAAGGTGAGCCACCTGCGAAGATGGCGAAGGTGTCCAAAGATTAGACCAGACACCTCGCTGATACAATCACATCACTGAAGTGCAAAGCGCGCATGTAAAGAAAAAAGTGACCGTGCACATGGCAGCATGAGTGCATGATACTGTATTGCATGCAGATGTATCATATGCTGCACATTGCTGCACTGTATAATTGTCATGAACAAGAATGAGTGTTTGCCTCTCTGAAACACCTATACAAAATTGAATGCATATTGAATACCAAAGGCTCACCCAGAAACTCCATGAAACTCCGACACATTTGCCAAGAACTTGCCAAGGTGTGCGCTTAGTACAAGGAAATTTTGCTGACTTTGCGAGCTTCCTCCAAAACTCTTTCACGGAGAGGTTGGATGTGGCTTGGGGATGTTTGCACTTTGCTGGGGTCCCTTAGCCACGCTGGGCCACGCTTTTACAGTAGTTGCATGAGAAGTCCACCAAAACGTGTGCAGATGTGTGCAGTGTTGTAGAATGTTGTGAAAACGAGAGGCAAACGAAGTGATGAGATTCTCAGATATTTGAATGCTGACCATCCTTGGAAGCCTGGGTCTTTGGCAAGGCCCATTTGTCACGGACTTCTTGCTGATCTAGGTCCAAGCAGCCGGGGGGGTTGATATTCTATAATATGTAGAATTTATTATATAACATAATAATTCTATGTATAATTTATTGATATTTATTTTAACATCACAATAAGAGATATATATATATATATCATATGTACATACATACAAAATACCATATACATATATCATACATGCACGCAGGTGTGTGTGCGTGCATGTGTGTGTGTGTGTTGACAATATTGAAGCACTGCGAGATACTGCGAGAAAGTCAGACCATGCCAAACATTGTCATGGAAGATCATGGAAGGTGTTTCATCACCTCAGCTGGACTGCTTCGACCGCGGCTTCAGCTTCCGCGGCGATGGGCCGCTGGATATGCGGATGGAGCGCAGATGGTTCAGTCAGCAGTGTTGGTGTTTGTGATGGAGATGCAAAATGAAATAGATCTCCATCAAAGATGATCAAAGTATATATATATACATCAAAGTGCAAAATAAAGCATTCAAAATACTTCAAAATCTATGTGCTTTTAGGTGATCTCTATACTTAGGTCACTTAGGTCGGTCCATATTCTAGATATTTTCTAGATCCTCTTGTCCTTGTTGGGATACGTTACAGTCGTCAGAGCGAGCCTCTGCGATTTGAGCCAGACACATCACTGTGATGGTCAGGACACGGACGAAAGGGTCCACACTGCCGCCTGGCACATCTCGCATTCGCAGCCAAAGCAGCTGGCGAAATGCATTTGTGACTTCGGCGATGAGGCTTGGCACGGTGGCGCCATGAAGTTGTCCTGCCCTATAGCCTGTATAGATCATTCATGATCATTGGTAATCATATCATCGTATATGTATATATATATATATGCTGATATCATCTACAGGTGCTGTGAAAATGTGGTCCTGTCGTTGCTTGATGCTGCTTGCCGTCATGGACAAACAGGAGCCTGCCTTCGCAAAGCTCGTGGCAGAAGCCCTTTGCAATGCCAAACCGCAACGAACCAGAGAGGCACAGCCGATTGTGCCGGCATGTGCCGGCATTTGTCACATAATCGTAGTGAGATCTTGCGATTTGAACCGGCTGGCGGCATTAGATTCAATAAGAAATCAGAAGTGTTGACGTAAATAGATACCATGGGTAACCCATGCATAGCATTGTCGAAAGCTTTTTGATATTTTCGAAGATCATGCCACTGCCAGACTCATCGTTTCGTCCGCAGGCTGTTGAAATCATAGAGGACAGCCAGAACTGAGAACGCAGATTTGTGATTTGTGAAGCCAAGTGACTTTGATGGACAGGAGGCTCTGGATTAGGGATGCTAATTTGCTCTGAAATGCTACCCGCTTTTTTTCTCGAATTGGTTCTCCACGCGGAAACTCACGGGCCAGACACATGCAGTGAGATTCAGCAATGCATCTTAGTTTTTGCTGCATGTGCTGATGACAAACATTTTCCAAAGACACGAGTCCAAATTAGTCTACAGAAACTTAGATATACAGAGTTGAATTGAAGGAGTGCGCCAGACAAGCTTCGATGACACGAGGAAAGGTGCACGTTGCTACAAAGCATCTTGGATTGAATTGTTGCATGTGATACAAGACACAGACAAGATGCAGGAAACACTCTCCTGATAGTGATGGAAAGGGGCAGATAAAGTGGGTAGACAGAGAGAGAGAGAGAGGAAATGGCTCCAATGCAAAGACTGCGAATTGAAAACGTGCAAGAATTATCATAAAGTCGTAAACTTGCCGATTGAAGCCTGCGAAAGACCAATGGGCGTGTTGATTACGCATAATTTGCTTGCAGTAGGCTTTCGTAGCAACAGAATCGGAGAGTGTGATTGGGCAGCTGTTGCTTTTGATCATTTTTGACCAACATGTCTCAGGACTTTTCAAGCTCTCAGAATTCTCGTCAATGGTCAGACCCTTGGCCTTTCACCATCACTGACATTTCTGACGTGATCACCAGCGAAGGTGCCGCAACGGTAGCAACGTTTCCTGTGGAGGAAGGGACCCTCACAAAGTTTGTATGCACATTGTGGCAAGGTGAGTTGGGAGCATTGGAGACTTTGCTGGCAAGCGCAGAGCAGTACTTGGCACCTGGAGGTAGCAAGGGGCGGAGCATGTTACTTTGTTTCAGAAGAGAGTTTGAGTATCATTGGATATCATTGGTCATACTTGATGGAAGTAGGTCACCAAGTCCTGTGATCATTGCGATGATTGTCAAAAATTGTCAGGGTTGATTCTGTGTGAGTTCCTCATTGCTGATTTGATTGCTATTGTTCTTCCATGATTTTCGAGGCCTCATGGCCATCATCACATTCCACTCGTTGGAGGATGACTTGGTCCGGTGTAAGGCATGTCATGAAATCATAAGAAATTACGGCAGGATTTGTTGAAATTCTCTGAAATCTACCCTATTGACTTGAAACCCTTGGACAGTAGTACCACATGGAGTGCACGTGTGTTGTTTTCATGATTTAAACGTCGGGATCAACATTTTTGGTCCCACAAAGAGACCTCAAAACCTGGTGTTTTTGAATGTTTTTGAAGTCCTGGTGAGGTTCGCGGCGAAGCTTTGGCAAGAAGCTCCCGCGAAATGAGCAGGAGCAGTGTTTGGATCCCTGCTGGATCGCGAGAGGCCTGGCGTTAAATACAGTCTACCTACGCTTGTGTACCTGAACGACTATATTAAATAGTACATTTTGATACATTTTCGCTCACTCTCCTGTTTTTCGTTGCCGAATCCAAGTCTGGAGACAGAGAGAGACAGATGGAAAAGGACAGGCAGAGAGAGAGAGAGAGGGAGAGAGACGTATGTGAATATGTAACATTAAGGAGCACACACACACACTTGCTCAGAAATGTGTAATCACATGTGTACATATATAATCATATATATATATGTGAATAATGTGTTTTGTTTAAAATATTATTATTATTATTATTGGGTATGAATATGCGTGTAATTCATATCTATACCAGTATCATTATCAAATATCTAGGTGTCATACTGTATATTATATGTATGTGTGCAGTACATGTGTGTGTATCTCATGTTTTTTTTTAGTGCGCACCCTGCACTGCAGTGACATACTATCACATCCTGTTCATTTTAAATTGGTTGGATGAACTTTGAGGACAGAGAAAATTCGTCGAACCTTGTTGTAACACAGCTGCGCAATGCTGCAATGCTATTGCAATGCGCCAGGGCTTGCGGCCCAGTGACACGGAAGTTGCCCGAAATGCCAGGCACGGCATGTTGGAAGATGATTTATGATTCATTTATGATCATTTATGATTCATTTATGATTTGATTTGTGATGATTTCGCCAAGGGCAGTGTGATGTACAATGTGTTTGACTGGTGATGGTAGCTTTGAGAAAGCCAAGGTTGTTGTTATCAGCCGCTATCAGCCGCTGTCATCGTCGTCGTGGTCGTCATCACCACCATCAATCACTTTCATCGTCATGTCTTGACTACGGTATGTCCGTCTTTGCTTCTATGGACATTGTTGCCTAGTATGAACTCTACTGAAGTGCCCGCCCAGTTATTGTAGCTTTCGTCCCTTACCCATGGCCTCAAGCCTTGTGCACCGGATCCACTTGCACTAGGAGTCGTAGCGCGCGGCTGCGCCTCGCTGTAAGGGCCAGCAGGAGGGAGAGTGAGTGAGTGGCATAGTGTGGTTGATGTTGCTGCCTATGTGATCATGTTTATATAACTGGATTACCCTCTGGTAAACTAACATAACTATGGAAAATCACAATTTTAAATGGGAAAACTCACTATAAATGGACATGTTCAATAGCTATGTTAAATTACCGGAGGGTATATATTATGATATATATCTATGTGTGTGTACATTAAAATATTATCATTCATTATCATTCTTATTGAACTCAAAACACCCAGCAGATCTAGGTACTCTCTTCCATTGAGCACTTGGTTTCTGCAGGTTGTCATCGCTTCCTTCTCAGGCCTCCCCAAAGGATTTCTCCCTATACAGTACTGTGCCAACATTGTTTGCAATTCTGAAGGCTTTGCTCTCCATATTTGTTTTCATAAAAGTACTTGCATCAGTTCTCTTCATAATATGTTTCCATATGTTTCCATCATTAAATGATCATTAGATAGGAAAATGATGAGGGCTTCATAGCACAACATGCGGGCTGCAGGACGCCGCCACTGCGTATCGAGCAAAATGGCCTTTGTTGACCGTGCGTGACTGTTGCCGTCAAAAGTCTAGAGGCATGGATGAAAACGAAAATCACATGGTGTTTTTTGTGTTTTAACACAAAAAACGGCTGAGCAAGAACTCTGGCTCGCGCTTGAGTTATCTTGAGTTGACAAAATTCTTGATGGGTCAATTGCATTGCACTTGGGCTGTGGCTGTGGCCTTTGGATTCATTTGGCCTCTTCCCCACAAAAGCTACACGACACATTTCACATCATTTCGCCAAGATTAAGACCGAGGTGCTTCAAGTACAGCTCCAAATCGTACAAGATCGTTGGGCCATAGACCCAAAAAAAAGAATGTTTGCTGGAAAGTGATGGCGCGTTGCGGTGTCAACGTATGTCAAAATGTGCAACAAAGGTCAACAGTCGAAGTCAAGGTCAAGACCAGAATTTGACTGCATGAGATGGAAATAGTGGAAGACAGAGCTTTATGGTTTGAATCTCTCGATGTGGCACATCCAAGACTGGCACATCCAAGACTGGCACATCCACAGCAACTAGTACTGGTCGTACTAGTTTATCCGAGGACATGGGATGACTTCAAGGGCAATGAGATGCAAGCCTGTCATGTTTCAGCCAGCTGACTGCAACTAGCAGCCTAAAACATTTACTGCTTGGGATACATGAACATTGCCCGAACTCTATCGTGTTTGCTCGTGCAGACCAGGATGATTACGTATAATATATACACCGACGGAATCCTCAGGCCATAATAATGGTCTGAATGGATTCAGGCTGAATATTTAGCCTGAACCTATATTTTTAGCCCGAACTAAAAAAAATAGCCCGAGGCACTTTGCGCAAAAAATGCTGGTTCAATGGTATTGAAATCAATTTCACATATTGAATGGCATGGATAAGGGGGTGCAAAATTGAGAAATCCCACAAGAAACTGTCCCATAATATCATGCAACCTTCCTGCAAATTAGCAATGTCAGAAGCACAAAGCAGCAGTCCATTAGCTGATAACTGAGTAAATCTGACTGGTTTCCATCCCCAAACTATAACTTCGTATTCAAAGATGATTCTGTGACATGGTGATAGGTACATAATGGTATATATAACTCAAGCATGGTTTGAATTCCAAAAAAACATGAAAAATTAGGAGTTGAACTGCAAGAAAAAAACGTGAAAAATATGATTTTTTGAGTTTCTGCATTTTTTGCCCGATTAGTGCGATTTTTTGCCCGATTAGATTAGTGTGATGTTTTGCCCGAATTGTTCATGAAAATGTTTGGTCGTTGACCAAATTCAGCCCGATTTTTCCATAAATTCAGGTTTGCAATTCCAAATCAAGCTTGAAATCCAAGGGTCTCAAAACCAATATAGTGGAAATAAAATGCGTCATGAACCTGTGCAAAGCTTGCAAAATATGCCTTTTACCACCAATACACGTCCAGCGTTCCACAGTCTGGTAACTTTTTGGATTCTTAATTATTGAGCTTATTGCTTGATCTAATTCTACCAGACGAGAACAGGATACGGTAAGCATCGGGATGACCAAGTAGTTCTTGAGTTCTTCCCTGGTTTAAGCCTGATTTCTTTCCAAAATCAGGTTGAGATTCAAACAAATCAGCCTGAAAATCAGCAAATAGCCTGAGATCACCCTCAGACCGAAATTTCAGTCTGAGACCCTAAAAGTTTGTTTTTCCTCTTCAGGCTGAAATTACGTCCTTTTGGAGTTCCTAGGTATATATTTGTCAAAAGTCAAATCCACAGTATCTCATATGTGAATTTGCTGTATAGTTTACCTTCTGCAAGTGGCACCCGGATTTTTCATGAAAATGAAACTCCAATATGGCTGAGTAGGCGTGCGTAGGCAGTTTGTGTAGGCAAGTTCGTGTAGGTCGCGTGGGCGCTGATGGATTGACATACAGTAACCCAACTGGAAGTTCTGAGGGAATTGTCATGAATAAAAACTCGAATTAGTGGTTTGTTTGTCTTTGGGGACATCTATTGTTGCTAGAATTACTTACAACAAATTGTTCGATGGACTGCGCATGATTGTGTAGACCTTGCCGAGCGTGTCAGGCAATGGGATGGAACGAATTTCTTCTTCATTGTGACCCTCAGCTCACAGGCCTTGTTTGTCAGCCAGATTCAGTTGGTGCTCGCAATTTTTCCATTTGCATATCATGCCGGGTGATCGATTCTAGATTATGGATGATTATGGCTTTCGTTCTGTCGGGCTCGATGGCTGTAATTTCAGAGTCTACCTTCGAATCAGGAGTGGGATAGCTTTCAGATTTTGGAAGATGGCAGCCTGTCGCTGAGAATTTGAGCCTGCAACCATCAGGCACTTCCTGTAGCAAAACCTAAGGCAGTGTTAAGGCGTCAAGTCCAGCTGAGCATGAGAGACTGTGATAGAGATGAGATTATGGAATGATAGGATATGATAAGGAATGATAATGAATGATAATGAATGATAGGGATAAAGGGTCTGTTTGTTACTCTGTTCTCCATTGACTCTCCACTGTTTGTTCACTGACGTGTTTTGATGTGTTTTGGTAGCCGCAGCCCAGGTTGGGAGCGCACTTTGTACCCCAGCTGCCGAGATGGAAATCCATTTGTTCAGCACCAACTGATGGGCCCCGATGGCAAAGGCCATGGACGCAACTGGACCGTGGCTCAACTCGGATCTCGGGTGACCTTGTGGCTGGTGGTGCAATGTCAACGATGGTTATTGAACGGTTATTGTATGTGATTGTCACCCCAATTTGCTTTCGGAACTTGGTGAACTTGGTGGCACTGTGGCCACAGATCTACTGAGTTGAGGGATGATAGGGTCCCAGCTTGCAGACAGACATGTTGTGTTTCTAGCAAATTTTAGCAAGGAGCTTCAGGGTTTGAAGGTTTTCGATTGCTGTCGAAAAGCCTGGCCAACCCGAATATCACAGCATATGATGCTGAACGATGGCTGAAGGACAATTGGTCGACACGAGGAAGATGCTGGAAAGGCGGGACATTATGACTCGCTCATAGTGACCATGAATTGTTCATGAATATCATGAATGTCCTTGATTTGTTTCACCAGTTGAGCCAATCAGCTTGATTGATTGGTGGGAGATGGTAGAATTGGTAGCATATGTTGATTCCCATCCATTCTTGAAAACTCTGGCGGTGATGAAAGTGTCACCGGTCCACCAGGATGAAACAAGCCAATTGTTTTATGCCAGCTGCCAGAGCCCGCTGTCGTAAATGTGCCAGGCACAGAGTCTTTACAAGGCCCCTGCTGGGGGATGGCAGGACGCAAGCAGATGACAAAAACATACAAGAACTAAAACACATTAAATAATGGCTGTTTATGGTTGTTTATTTAGATAATGGTTGTTTATTCATGAATGAAGCACAGATGATCCTACTTACTGTTTGAATCTGTTTTGAGAGATTTTGGGTGGGTTTGGACGGGCCTGTCAGGTGGAGCTCCGCCCAGACACGGTTGGCAGGTTGGGGCCTCACCCCAGGTTTGATCATGTTAATACACCATATGATTTCGAAATATTCAGGATACAATCGGATATATATATATATATACGTACATTAATATACAAATTATGTATTCAGATGTATTCAGCATATATAAATATATACATATACAATCAGGTACAACTCTGAGAATTTCTAGCAGTGGCAACAACAGTTGTGCTTCGCTGTACAGCTACATCCAAGATCATCGAAGGCCCAGCTTGGTGACATGGCGGAGGCTTCGCGAGGCAGAGGTCAGCGCGTGGGTGCTGGAAGGTTCTGATGGAGAGGTAGAATGCACAGGATATCACAGGCGGATCATATTTTGTTTTTAAGACCATAGGGCCGTAGGGACCAAAACAACTGATGCAGAGATGAACGGCATGGCATGGCATGCCATGGCATGGCATGGCATGGCATGGCATGGCTGACCTCTCCAATGTTTCCCCTCTTTCGCCTCCCTGTGTTGAAGCGGCGATTCTTGTGGCATGACCTGAGGCAGAGAGCTTACGGCAGCAGGCAGCGATGGCTGTGGTGTCGTTGGTGCCATGGCCTCACGGCCTCACGAGTTCTCATAGCTCCAGTTTTCATGCAGACATAGAAGGTAAAGGCAAGCGGCGAGCATATGTTTGAGGATTTGCTGTGTGTCCTTGAATTCCTTGGATGTTACACATGTCTGCTTTAGCTTGAGAAGGTGAGCTTCAGTCTCTAAGACTAAACGAGTGCACAGAACACAACCTGTGCAAAGCTGGAGCCTTTTCTGCCACCTTTGCAGCAGGAATCTGAACCGTCGCTTGGAACAGTTTGCTGTAAGTAGCTTCATACATATCAGCAGCCACCATGACTGCAGCATGCTGGCTCTGAGCCAGTGCCAGTCCCTCGCCTTTGCGTGTGTTTCTCCATTCCTAGACTGTCCATATCGGCTTCCTCAAAGCATCTTGTCCGCACAAGCTTCAACAACTTTGCTGATGTCGTGTTGAGCCACAAGATTGGATGAGACTCCTTTGGGGAACTTTGGGGGTGTTTGTCAGTAACATTCAGGATGCCGAATGTCAAATGTCATGGCCATAGAACTATCGAGCCAGTTCAAGACAGACTAGTTGTAGGCAATTTTGTTCATTTGTTAGGCTTGTGGGGTTCGAAGGAGGTTCGAACATCAAGTTGCATTGGTTGACAAGTCAATTCCACTTTGATAAGGCCCCAACTGCCTAGCTTTCCTTCGACACTCCAACACACGCTGTAGTCCTGGGGGTTTATTGAGTTTCATTCTTTGGGTTTATCATCATGTTTCAAAGCATCAGAACTTTAACATGAACATCCCATACATCCCATTGAGTTTGCAAAGACATGTGGGAGACGACTGAGACGACCTTTGCAGCGCCCCTGAGATGATTGGTTTAATCATGCGTAGCCTCTTCGGCTTTGGCATGGACAGCAGCTGCTTGATGGTGACACTTGGACTTAACGTGGACTGACAGCTGATCAATACGAATGATAGTCCAAAAATAGCCAAAACTAGCCTAGGCCTCAAACAGTCAGTGAAGGTGACCAACAAGTTGTTTTATGATATTCATATGCAATTGATTGTCAAGGTTCCGTACTTGAATATTTGGCAGATGCATACACTTTGCGAGATAGAAGCAATTGACAATTTGGGCGTCCATGCAAGTGGCTATGTTCCTCAGTAGTGTTTGAGGTGATTTGCATGAATTCTGCATTTGCTTTTCCAGCGACACTCCAGGGCTGGCGGTGCTGTTGTCGGCCTTTGTGCTATCTGTGGGATCTACAGGTGGGAACTTTTCCCAACTGAAACATGATCTTCATTGAAATTGGGCATAGCTTAGCTGCCAGCAGATGCCTGACCCTCAGTTCTGCTTCCCTTGCATTTCCATGAGAATATAGCTTTATGATTATGGACAAAGATGTATAAGCTTGCTTGGATGAGACCAGCAGGAATCCATTTCTGCTGCAGCAAGTTTCGCTCTTTTTGATTTTCCTGTCCGCCTGGTTGTGGCTTCGTTGAGAGTTGCCCTGCAGTGGGAAGTGCAACTTGGAAGGTGCAGAAACTGTCGAATGCGAGACTGCGGCTGCTGCAAGCGCTGCTTGCGCTGCACAGGTGAAGCCAAGTCCATTTTGCAGCTTTTTGCTCACATTGATCCGGGAATATCGGGCATCAGACTCAACTTGTATTTCTTTGGCTGTCGCTGCGGTAGAATGGGAGCCAAGAGGCATTGACACGTTCGATGACTTCGAGCTGCTAGTCGTCGTGCATGACGCCATGCCTCCAAGCTGCATCTAAGACGTGTGGCCTCAAGATGTTTGCGATTATTTGGGGTTCTTGACCCGGGCAGATGTAAAACCGTGCCATACCATGCCGGTGCCCAGGTTCACTGGCAGCAGTTCCAAGAACAATGTGTGCGTTCGCATTACTGCTGGCATGCAGCTGCTTGGAACAGAAGAGTTTGGAAGCTTTGGGAAGCTGGGAAGATAAATTGATTAAATTGCTTAAATTCTTCAAGTTTCCTCAAGGCTGATTTTTGTGTATTTTGTTTCACTTGGGATTTGACTGGACCAACCCCTGAGGTCTGCGGCCACGAGCGAAAATTCCAAAGCAGTTTTCCATGAGTCCTTGAGTATCCTCGTTGAGCAGGGAACCGACGCTGTTGTGGTGGAGCCCCTTGGTGATGTCAAGAAAAACGGATTCTATGCAAATCTGTGGGGTATCCCATGGTATGTCAGTGTATGTCAAGGTATGCCGGATACAAAATTTCGCTCATTTCAGGCTTTGGGATGTCAGGGAGCGCCGTGGACTGGCCAGCCTCAAGTTCGATCCAAAGAAGGACTTGACCTGCGCATTACTGAGTCAACTGGTGCATTGGGATCTTCGAATTTTGCTTATTATAGAGTCATGTGATAGTCATGTGTTTTCCTCTGTGCATGCATGACCCGAATTTTTGGTTTTGTTGTCCATTTGTGATGGTTGTGGTATCTTTGTTTTGCTCTTGTCAACACCCTGGACAGCGCTGTGTTTTTGTGTTTGATGTTGCAAACTGTCCTGGGTTCCATGAAGTTGTGCTCCCACCATTTGCATGTCGTTGGTGTTGATGTGGTATCCACATCTAAAGATTCAGAAGCTGCAGCCCACAGCAATATATCCAGATATCCAGATATATCCAGGAAATTCCAGGAATAAGATGGAATGATATGGAATGAGATGGAATACATGTGATAAGTATATACAGTGTTAATCAGTATTATATTTTTACGCAACCATTGTAAATGTCAGAAGATGTCAGAAGTATTGTGCAACGGGCAGTTTTCAGAGAATACTTGACTTTGCAAAATCTCGTAGGAGATTTATTGGAGAAGGATTGCTATGATCATACGATACAAGATTGATATATAATATACAGTAATTATTGGATGTGTTAGAGTAGGTACAGGCACCTGGCTTTGCAGGACCTCCTGCATAGTGACGATTTGGGGCGAGAGAAGATATACCACATGAAGCAGAAGGCCAAAGGCTTGCTGAATCCTCGCGTCAGGCGACCTGTTTGCTGCGCCAACAGTTGAACGGGAAGCCCCTTACGTCATCAATTTCATTATAGGGGGAAAAAATGAAATCACACATCCAGTCCACGATGTGATCAATATGCAGCCGAGAAGTCCTGCCACCTTTTTGCATCAAAATGCTTGCCATTTGCAGGCTGAGTGTTCACTTGGATACAGAGGAAGGCATGGAGAAGGGGCTTCTGCAAGATGTGGACATGAGCCACTCGGCAAGCTGTTTGGTACACCGGTGAAAAGATGGCGTCTTTTGAATGTGCCAAGGCAGGGAGACCGACATGATGCTGCGCTCTCAACTTCAGAAGGTGGATCGATAAAAATTCCAAATATCTCCCAGCGCAGCTGTTGGGAAACGTCAGCATTCCATAGCATTCCCATTTTCCAATTGTTCAAATTTGTTCAATATTGTTCATGGATAGTGCAATTGAAGAGCAGGCTCAAGCAAACGAACGTGCACGTGGATCCCGTCAAGAGGAAAGTGGCAAGGCCTGTATTTGTACATATTTGCACATCACCTGACCCAAGATTCTTTTGACATACGTTCTCAGAGGTGGAGTGTTCATTTGTTCTATATATATATATTCAAATCCGGATTTCTATCCAATTAAAAAGATGGGACCAATTATTGAGGAATTGAGTGGATGGATTGTGCTACTTGATGCTACATGTAAAATGTGGGAAACATGTTGCGCCGAGTTGCACCACTATCCCCAGGATTCTTCGCCTGGGAAGGAACTCTCCAAGGTGGGTAGGAGACAGTAGGAGACGGGCTGCCGGAGGCGGCCCTTTCAGTATACAGTATATAGTCAGTATATACAGTAAGAGTCAATAAGAGGTTAATGAGAGGAAATGAGAAAATTATATGTCTCCATGCGCTGCTTTGTTTGGGTCTTCCTGTTTACTCAGGTTGCTCTGTTTTTGCTGGTGTGATTCATTGTGATTCCATCATGTTTGGAACGGTAGATCTTATCTTCGCAGTTTTAATGCGCTTTCTTTGTTTTCTCGATTGATTGCAGTAAACTTGGCTTTTGCAAGTCTACCATGAAAGCCACACACGCCCAAAGGGGCAATCTGAAGGTGGAGCTTTTCGCAAAAGGATGTGCAGGACACAGGGTCCTGGCCAGCTATAGACAGCAATGCGGGCACCTGCTGGCACAGCCATATGAGAGGCAGTTTATCAGCCCTGCAGTTTATCAGTAAATGAAGGATAAGTAGAAATATGATAACATATGCATAAACCATCATAAACCATCATAAACCATTATAAACTCGCCAGGAATCCCCAATGGCCCAATGTCTCCTCGCAGGACCACTGGACCAATTTGGAAGCTGGGGCCGACGTGATTCGGTTTGGATTGCTGTCAGAGGACCCTTTTGCAAATGTTCCAATGTTCCAATGTTATCATCAACTTGTTCCACTTTGTCAGCCGCGGACTAGCGGTGACTCGCCATCACCTGTACCTGCCATAACAAAGCAATGCTAAGCATTTGGCTGGCGCTGGCCTAGCCCATGTGCAGGACCTCCAGATCAAAAGCGCTACACTCTGTGCATCTACAAAGACGAGTCTTCTTGTAACAAGGGTGGCAACCCGGAGGTGGAAGTGGAGTTGCTCAAGGTGCTGGACTAAGGCATTGGTCAAGTTGCACAGTTTTCGCATCGCTTGGCTAGTGAAGTTTACTGTCAGTGTGATCACAGTATAGTCAGTACAGTATATACCACGGCCATGTGATCATATAAATCAATATAAATCATATAAACTACATGAAGAAAAACATACAGTTGCCGCGCTTTTTTGTTTCTTTTTTGTTTGTTGTACTATGTTGTACTGTACTCGAGTTTATTTATGGTAGTTTATGGTAGTTTCAATGTTGCTTCAAACAACGTGACAGACGCCCAGGTCCTTAGCGTACAGCCAGATCCGGCTCGGAGCGAAGTCTTTATCATCAACTACTTGGAAAAGAATAAGGCCATCTGGAAATGCTGGAAAGCTCCCGAAATTCGCGGTGCCAAAATGTGCCAAACAGAAATGACATATGAATAAAAATAAATAAATATGATCATACAAAATATATCAAAATATTAAATCCACGTCTCTAAGACTCTCTAAGATTTTCTAAGTTATGCAATATTATGCAATGTTGTGAATATTGAATCATAGCAGTAGTACCCGCACGAGGCGGGGTGGAAGTCGCCTTAGGGTTATACTAAAGGTCCTTTTTCATCGATAGAACTTGCGTGCCCCGCGCGCCACTTAGGCCCGTGCGTGCGTGCTTTGCGCGAACCTGCTGCACTGTTGTTGTCCAAGAGCAAGACCTGCGCACGACCACGTTGCAATTCAACGTTTTGCGACACTTTGCGTTCCAAAGGTCACACTTGAAACTGCACACTTCACACTCCACACTCCTCTCATCTCATCTCTTCTTATAATATGTAATCTAAGTTTCTTCACAATTATGTTCATCTCATCTAAGCATTGCTCAACCTTTCTCATCTCATGGAAACTCTTCTTACCTCATCTCAGCTCCTTTGCGTCAGAAAGCTATTACTGTCAGTACTTCCCAGTCCTACTTTGTACTACAACACCTGATTAAACTAGCACAACATACCTTCCAGTACTACCCAAAGTTGCACAAACACTTCTCAGTAGTACTTGTCCTAGAATGCTTGCGCAAAGTACTTCCCACTGCTACTTTGTACTACCAGACTTGCACAAAGTACTTCCCAGTACTACTTTGTACTACAAAGGGTTGCACAAAATACTTCCCAGTATTACTTTGTACTACAAAGGTCGCACAAAACACGTCCCAGCACCACTTGTACTACAAAACTTGCACCACGTATTTCCCTATACTACTTGCACAACAAAACTTGCACATGTTTTTTGCAAAGGGAAGATTTTACGGACAGAAGTTTTTACACAAAGCAAGCTTTTACACACAGTGAGCTTTTGCGCAGAGAAGCCTTTACACACAGCAAGTTTTTCGCCGTTAAGCTTTTACACCCTGCAAGCTTTTACCCCGCGGAGCTTTGACAACAAGCTTTTACACGAAGGCGCTTTACACACAGCAAGACAGACAGCAAGCTTTTACACACAGAAGCCTTTAAGAGAAGCTTTTACACAATTTTACACAAATTTAAAGGACATGTTACACACGAAAGCTTTTATGGTTTTACGCGCAATGGCACCAGAAATTACAGTACCGCTCCAAAACCGGATCTCGGGGCCAAAGCAAAAAAAAACAATTTTGAAGCATTTGAAAAGATTTTGTTAAAGGAATCGGGGCCAAAAATTTGACAAATCACCATTGCAACCTTGATGCAGCCACTTCAATACGATTTGCGATGCCACCAACAAGTGGCAAACACACATGCATCTACGCAGATGGCAACACAACATGGCAACAACCATGCAGCCATTCCAATGCGATTTGCAACCGCAGATTCCCACAAGACCATAGAACTACGCACGCAAGAACAGACCTAAAGCATTAAACTCCAGGCCAAACATCAAAACGACCGCAGCCGCACCAGGGTCATAAACGAGGCAAGTACCCTTCATCGCCTGCGGCAGCCACTTGACACTGTTTCCCGCTCCGGCATCCTCCCCAACCCAAAACACTTCCAAGAATCAAAGCCTCCCTAAGTAAACCCACTTCACAAAGCCACCACTTCTCTTAGTCACCGCTTCACAAAGTCACCACCACTTCTCTAGGTCACCACTTCCCTAAGTCATAACTTCCCTAAGCCATCACTAACCCAAGTCACCACTTCTTTAGGTCGCCACTTCCCTAAGTCTCCACTTCCCCAAGTCATCACTGCCCCAAGTCAGCACTTTCTAGGTCACCACTTCCCCGTCACCACTTTCCCAAGTCACCACTTGTTTAGGTCACCACTTCCCTAAGTCATCACTCGTATTGTTGTGCATGTATTGTTATTGCTAATCCAGCAGCCCGTAACTCAGAAGATTGCTTCCCAACTTCCTTTGATAAATATTATATATATACATAATATATATATTATAATATTATATAATATTATTATATATTATTAACCACGCCTATTATTGTCATCGATTGACATCTTTGACCTATGACGGCCAAGCCTCGCAGGTCAAGCAAAGGCTCACATTCTCACGCATCGACAGGGCACGCGACATTTGGGTGGAGATGCTGACGTGACTCGACTGCAAGCGATCCCAGCAGCCGATGGTGTATCTATTGCTCATTGAGCGTAGTCCCGGTATCATTGGGCACGATGCGCAATATTGCACAATGGCAGGTGAGAAAATCTTATGTTTTTATATGTTTTATAATATGTTTTATCTAGCTGCCATTCCTTCAAGGCTGCTGATCACCATGATCCGAGAAGACAAAGAGTCGTACCTGGGCAAAAATGATTCCAACGTTTTCTTGGGGTGGTTATGGGCGGTTGGTGCTCCCAAACCATCGATGTTTCTAGCAGGATCCAGGATCCATTTGGTAGATCTCATTCAGTGCAGAAGAAGCGTTTGCTTTCGCCGTGTTCCAATGTGTTAAATTGTGTTAAACCTTTTGCATAATCCATCATAATCCATACTTTGGCGATCTTCGACATTTGAGCAGTGAGTCAATTGAATCAACTGGTGATGCGAGAGCGATTTCAGGAAGTCGCGCAGCAGTGGCAGCAAGCGCTGAAGCGGTGTAAAGCTGTTTCCGGGGCTTACAACTTGACCGACTGAGACTGACCAACCAAAGTCTGGAAATATCTGGAAATGCTGCGGGATCGGGATCTTGATTCGATTTTTTGTTTGCTTGCAAAGGTAGGTACTAGTTTCAGAGAAATGATTCTCGCGCCGAAGGATCTTCAGTCTAATCAGATCTAATCAGTATATATAGTTCTTTACCATTTTAGATGAGTATCAGCCCAAGCAAGTAGAATCAAGCAGACCTGTTTCAAGTGGTTGTAAGTTACTTTCATCATGTTTCATCTACTTTTTGCAACCCGCCCCATCCACGGCAAGGCGCAACGAGCCAAAGATGAGCTTCGGGCCAAGGACCTGAGTGCAGTGAATGCTGAGGCTGACCCTTTTCTTTCATCACAAGCCGATTCTGGGAATGTGTGGCCATATCGTGGTCCAATAAACTCAATTGTATATATGTGGAGGCTCATTTTATTTCTAGCCGTTCTTTCCTGTTCAAACGTGCACAACGGAATCAAGGTTTGAACAGCCCATGACTGCAGCACGCTGCGTTTATACGTTCTCCAGCTTTGCTTTCCTTGCCACATGTAGTTTTGCTAGAAGGCAATTTTGCAAAGGAACCGTGCTTTGAAGCGAACCATCATGTGAGCAGATAATTCCTTTCACACTTTCAAAGTTTCTCGCTCTTCCCACCGCATCCCCTTTCCATGCTGTTGCACCAGTTTCAGCAGCAAACCTTGGAGCAGCTGTTTCCGCAGCTGTTTGGCTTTGATAATTTTTTGCTGACTGTGTAGTTACTTCAAGATGAATACGTGCGAGACAAGTGAGCAACCAACAAGCTGTTGCCAACGGAGGCTCAACCGGAATGGGTATGGTAGGTGTGGATTTCCAAGGACTTCATTGGGCTCCAAAGCTGGCCATAACATCCTGGAAATATAGCCAAGGGTTACGAATAGTCCAGGGTGCGTGACAGTTGTGGACTGTAGAAATTTGTAGGCTTAATGTGGCTTAACCGTAGACTGTTTGTCAATGCCAGGAGTTTCCAGCCAACTTCCAGGGCCTCGCGGAGCATTTTTGAATCTTCAAATCTGGCGATGGGAAAGACATGGAAAGACATGTGGATGCATGTGGGACGATGGTAGAACGGGGATGCATGGAATGCAGCTTGGCTCCAGCACGCTCGGGACTACACCGAGGCTTCCAGGATTTGCCCCAAGAGTTCCTTGGAGAGACTGGAAAGAGACTGGAGAGAGTGGTGCCAATCCTTGACTTGGAGAATCGATTGTATCGATTTAAACTTCCCCAGCATTCAAAACTTTGGCGGAAGTTTGTGTGAACAGAATTGAATGGATAATAGTTGCAGTAATCATAATCATTATTTATATAATTATGCCATGAAGAAACAAGCAAGATGTAATGTAAAATTCTGTAAATAATGTAAATAAAGATAATAAAGATGTGCAACCTGTGAACAGGAGAGAAAAAAAAAGCATCATATCGAATCGAGATGCTCTCTGCTAGGTATACTTGTCGCAGCTTCTGTCCACTTTTGTCCTTGTTCACCTTGTTCTCCACGTTCCAAGGGTAGTCCCAGATCCCAGGCTCCCCCTATGGCGCCGCTGGAGATTGGCACCCTTTATTATGTGGAGGAGGCAATCTACAAAGCCGAGAAGGCAAAATTCCGGGATGTGTCGACTGTGTCGACTGTGTCGATGTGTGTGCTGTGTGCCAAGTTCACAGCCCTGGGCCCAATGTTGCACACCAAAGTGCAGGCTTTGGTCACAGCAAAGTTTGCCGGCCTGTCCATGCCTACGAAGAAGTTTGACCCGCAGAAGGACGGTTGGTGCGCAGAAATGTCCTCATCAAAGGCAACTGTGTTCTTTTGCATAGTGTTTATTAGTGTTTTGTTTTCTCCCGTAGCTAGGATGCTAAGAAGCCCGACTTCCTTGCACGCAACCCGACTGGCAAAGCACCTTGGAAGCTTCTGGCTTTGTGCACATTGACTGGTACTGACCCGTGAAATCTAACTGCAAGATCATGAAAGATACTGTAAGTCACTAGAGTCACTAGAGAACCAGGCAGACCTTCAAGAAAATTCCATGAATTTCCAGATGAACAGCCCGCAATGCAACATCCGCAAAGCATCCAGGTGCCATACCTCGAGACTGACAAGGGCTGCATTTTCACCTCAAATGCTGTGGCAAGGCTCCAGTGTAGGGGTCGGGAGGTGCACGGCCTCAACAAGCTTAAAGACAAAGTAAAAGTTACCACCTGACACTGGGAGGTCTTAAATGTTTTGCGAAAGTAACTCGAAACAGTCTTAAACATTCTTAAACATTCTTAAACAATTATTCAAGTTGTGGGTTGTCATCCCCAGCTTTCACCATGCTAATATTGTGCCGTGTTTGATGATGTTTCGTCCATAAAGATATGAATTTGAACAAGAAAAGCTTGTATGAGTAGTCGCGTTTGCTTCTTCCGTCGGTTCCCAGTGCCTTTGTTACTGTACTAGTCTATACTTAAGGGCTAGTATGGGCTAGTGAAACCCTCAAACTCCAGAATGACATGACATAGACATCCAATGATACCTAGCTGTGTTTGTTTACACACATGACGGGTCAAGGTGCACATGAGCGTTAGGGCCGTTAGGCTTCAGGAAGGACTGCCATCCTCTCTGCCCTTTGTTCAGATACGTTGCCCGGTGCCGCTCTGACTTGATGCTCTATGGCTCCAATTTCGAACAGGAAGGTGACATCGACAGCTGGTTGGAGTTTGCCTTGCACGAGGCACGTGAGTCGCGTGAGTATGTAGTTGGATTATAATTATGTGCTTTGCAAATCTTTGCAATGTGTATAGTCCTAGAAGACACCGGTTGAAAAAGCACACTGAGACACCTGACCGCCAAATGATGTCTCCTCGTACATGTGGTGGGCTCATGGAATGGCATGCTTACAAATACGCAGTCTATGTGGTACTGTATGGCAGAAGAGTTCTTGTGAGTTTGCTGGATGTTTGTGACTCATGCTATTCTTTCAAGGTCGAGATTCCCTTGATGACCTGGGTGTACCCTGTTCTGGGTATGATGGAAGATGTGCCATCAGCCACTAAGGACGCACAGGCCTGGCCGGAAACTCTGAGACTGTACATGTTTGCCTCATGTTGCCTCCATATTATTAACAAGAATAATTTGTTCACTTGCCTCTACAAGTTGCTTATCAATCGTGAAGTTGGGAGGCCACACCCTGGATAACTTATTCCACCCTTTCCTCTTGAATCTATAGAATCAATGCTATGCGCCCTGATAGCCAAAGGTGTCATCCAGTGAGGTTCTTGGGTGGGATAGTTGCGACCTGACACAGAGCTTCACGTCGTTAGAAATGGGTTCACACGGAGGCCTTAATCTTGGCTCCACAGCGATTCTCGGGAGAACGGCATTGCAGTCAATTGCACTCTGGCCCTGACAGGAAGACGTCAAGAAAGCTTTGAAGGTCACTTGGCTGAGTTTGGAAATACTTGCAGTGCTTTTTTTCAAGTATACTGGACAGCCCGAAGGCACACAATGTTACTCAGATTCGCGCAGCATTTCCTTTCACAGCAGCATCTTCAAGCCATTTTCTCATCGGGCTGCATCCATTTGTAACATCCCATGCTGGTGTGGAAACCAGGAGATGGAGCAGCAGCTATCAAAAACAGACTTTTTGGTCAGTAGTTTTGTGACCTTGGCAGACATTGTCCTCGCACCTCGGCCGAAGCTTTTCCAAGCGACCTGCGCTCGCATGGCATTCCAACGATTAAGTCATCATAAGTCCTCCAGGTTGAATCTATGTGTACATTGTGCAGGGTAACTGGAAGGGCAGAGAAAGAAATGGGGAAAGCTTTGCCACTGAATGCAACACCCGGTACAAGTCCAAGGTCTGCGCGCTGAAAGAAGGCTTCAAGAGGGTCTTTGACCCAAACTTTAGGAAGCCCTTTCCTAAGACGTGCCAATGGTGCCTCAGCCGCAACAGCTGCTGTAGATAGCAAAAGGCGATGAGAGTCTCAGAGTCTGTGTATATCATATTGTTTATTTGCAATATGATTTACATGTGCAGAAAAAACATAGAAAACATAAATACACAAAGCAGGACATGTAATAACCACACGTAGTTTGTGCGTCCATCGTGTTCCTAGGTTTGAGAAGTGCTGCAAAATGCCGCAATTCAAAACTGTCCTGGGAGATGTGCACCTTGGTAGAAAACATAGAAAACTCGTTATTTGCAAGCAGCCATTAAAAGAAGGCATCACTGGCACTGGGCATCAAGGAAGTTGTGCGCTGCGCCTGAGAAACCGCGGGCACTATTGCCAGCTTTCGCTCCAAACCCGCGAGAAAAGGCCGGCTGCAAGGTTTTTCTAGACATCAATGAGCACACTTCGGTCCACTTTTGGTTGCCTCTTCTGGCGTAGGCAAAGGGCGCCCCAAAAGCAGAGGCCAAGGCTCCTGCAAAGGCCGACAAAAAGGCCGAACCGACAGAAAAAAAGTCGGAGAAGAAGCCAGAGACCTGACTAATTAATACTAATTACATCTAATTACACTGATGATGGTTTTGAATGGTTTTGCTCATAAAATGTTGTTCAATGCTTGTTTAGATTTTAGATCACCTGTTGAAATCATTGGAAACACTTGCACCCGTTGAACCACTTTGATACTGTAGGCATCTCGATTAGCTCACACTGATTTTATTGAAGTATATGATTCATACAGTACATTCAAGATCATTCAAGCAATTTCAGGTAGGGTGCCGGTATTTTTTGTGACGACTGGGCTCCACTAGACTCGACCATGCCCCAAGGAGAAGTCTCCGAAGGCGGAAGCAAAGGCGGAAGCAAAGGCGCAGCCCAAGGCAGAGCCAAAGGCTGCCCCGAAGGCAGAGCCAAAGGCACCAGCCATGGCGAATGGAGACGATCTCCAAGCGCAAATTGAAGCCCTTGGCCACTCGGAGCATGAGAAAGTTTCTGATGTCTCTGAAGTTTTGACATGTCATGACATTTATTACATCTAGGGACCACTGGAATTTAGTGGCCTTGAGACATCATGAGACATATTGTGTGTGTATAAGATTGTATAAGTGCAATGCTCAGAGGGGAGAAAGAGCTGTGACCAGCTGTGAAAGCAGTTGAGACAAGGCAACAAGATCCGAGCGAAGAAGGATGCGCTCAAGGCCACAGGCTTGAGCGGCAAAAAGTGTGACGCGGATCCTGAGGCTTCCAGCCGTGGTGCTGACATCCCGTGGGAAGTGTTTAGGATCTAGAATGATAGAATTGCACACCAGCTGGAAGAGGCACTCAGCAAAATCTTATCACCAAAAAAAAGCATAATATATATATATATATACATATACTTATATATATATACAAGTACAAACGATAACGCCAGAAAAAGCATTCGACTGAATCGGTAGATTGTTTTTTGATTAATGTTTTTTTGATCGCTGGATTATGCTGGACATGTTGCCACTGCGGAACCAGTCCAATGCATCAGGCTCAAAAGTTCTCAAAATGCAGGGCAAACCACACCTTGTACTGTAATCATGGGGTTGTTGGCTCTTTTGACCTGACATTTTCAATGCCACATTGCGAGCAGGTAAAGGAAATGGTGGAACAGCTGAAGGAGCTGAAGAGCCGCCAGTGACAAGGACCCAATGTTCGAAAAAATCAACCTGCAAATCTAGCAGATCATGCAGAACTGCAATTCGCAAATTGCGAGGCTAGTAGAAAAAGAGCTGCGCCTCCGAACAGCTGCTGGCTTTCTCCTTGTTTCTCACCACGTCAAACCTTTGGAACTGTGTTTGATGGTGTAGGATGGTGTAGGTCTAAG